CAACGCACCTGGGCACTCCTTCAATACAATCCTTGGCCCATGCAGAGAGGCTGCCGTGGCAGAGGAGCCATCCGGGACAGAATCGGCGCCCCGACCGGGAACTAGAACCCGGTGTGCCCAGCGCCGCCAAGGTAGAGGATTAGCCTATTGAGCCACGGCGCCGCCCCTGATCTAAGCTATTTATGCATGGAATATGGTAAAGGAGTTTTATCTTCATTTCTCTGTTTTTGGACCTGGTCTCCCCTAGCACCACATCCCCCGCTTCAGTGCACTGAAATCTGGAAGTAGTCTGTGGCCATTACATGGCGCACCCCCCAAACCCTGTGTATTTGGCAGTTTTAAATTTTCAGGAATCAAACAGACAACTCAAAATTTAACTCGGAGCCGAATTTACAGGGAGAGTCTATGAGGTGATTACAGGATCAAGGAACCTGGGCCATCCTCCACTGCCCTCCTGGGCCACAGCAGAGAGCTGGACTGGAAGAGGAGCAACCGGGACTAGAACCCGGTGCCCATATGGGATGCTGGCGCTGCAGGTGGAGGATTAACCAAGTGAGCCACGGTGCCAGCCCCTCACTTTTTTTTTTTATTAAGATTTATTTATTTATTTGAAAGGCAGAGTTACAGAGAGAAAGGTAGACAAGAGAGATCCTCCATCTGCTAGTTCACTCCCCAATCGGCCACAATGGCCAGGGCTGGGCCAGACCAAAACCCAGAGCCAGGAGCTTCATCTAGGTCTCCCACATGGGTGGCAGGGGCCCAAGCACTTGGGCCATCTTCTGCTTTTCCAGGCACATTAGCAGGGAGCTGGATGGAAAGTGGAGCAGCCAGGACACCAACCAGCACTCAAAAGGGATACTGGTGTTGTAGGCTCCGGCTTAACCCACTACGCCACAATGTCAGCCCTGAGCATCACTTCGGCTGCCACATGAAGCTATTAAATATGGGTAGAAGTAACAGCTTTCCTGTTTGAGATGTCTCTTATTTACCAATTTGGCGTTTGAGTTTATTTCATTTTGATACACTCAAAATGGCAGAACAAAAAAGAGCCAGAGACTGAATAACATAGTTCTAAGGACCTGTGTTATTGTTCATTGGCGATAATTCCTTTAGGAATAGTATAGCTTCCAGATACTGGATTTTTATTGCCATCTCACTTGTTCCTCCTTAGTCCTACAGAATAAAAACCGAGTCAGTTCTTAGCCAACTGGAAGAGCCCTAGGAGGAGGTGAGTGCAACAGCTTTACCCAACTTGTCATGGAAACAGTTAAGTTCTAGATGTGCACAGTATCAGCAGAGACGGCCAGGAGCTGCAGGAACTAGCTCTAAGATTCTGGAGCAGTTGAACTGAGAAACTTTCTGTGGTTTTAACTTAGGAAGAGAGGTGGCATAAGGCCAGAAAGTGAATTCAAAGGTCCTTTAAAACAGCTGATTGCCTGAAAACAGGATTCGTTTGCTGACGGATCCCTTTAATGAATCAGTTTTTGGTGCTTTAAAAATATGATTGAAGAGTTGACACTAGAGACTTATTTTGAAACAATCTGAGTGGACAGCAGAAAAATGAATAGGTATTGGATGGAATACGTTTGTGGGTTGATAGCTGTTGAACCTGGGTGACAGGTTCATGGAGAAAGCTTTTGAAATTTTCCATGACAAAAAATTACAAAGCGTGCTTTGAGATACAGGTATCAGTTTTGCACTAAAACAACTGGTGATGTACCCTCAGGTTGTTTCTTCAGTGTTACGTCCTAATATTCAGTTCTGTCATTTTAGGTATTAGCTAGAGAAGACATTGATGAGGCTGTCCATGCAATATTATTCAGAGAAAATCACGCTGTGAAGGTAAGAGCTGGCTGCAGCCTGTGGGCGCGAGGTGAGTTCTGGCCGAGCAAGGGTGGTGCAGAGGAGCGTGACCAAGAGTTGACGTCACCACGTCATAGTGACTCATTTTGCAGGGGGGATGGGTGGGGCGCCCATTCTATAGAGAGCCGAGGTTGTGCCACCTCCTTGCACTATTGCCAAGAGGTTGGAGACCTTACTTGGCTCTCTCCTTTAGGGATCTGTGAGATTGTTCTAACTGTACTTCCTCTATGTCCTGGTACTGAGTAGATTTTTTTTTTCTTACAAAAATTGCCTCTTTCTCATATGTACCCATATTGTAGCAGGCCTATATCAAACCACTGGAAATGAATTCATATTTAAGGGAAAAGACCAGTTAGTAACTAATGGTCACTATGGAATTAATAAGTCTAAAAGGGGTTTAATGTGTTCTTGTAAAAAATTTTATTCATTCTCATTTGAAAGGCAGAGAAAGATATATATAATATATAATATATAATATATAATATATATATATCTCCCATTTCTTGGTTCACTCCCCAAATGCCTGCAACAGCCAGGGCTCATCTAGGCTGAAACCAGGAGCGGGGAACTCAGTCCAGGTGTCTCACCTGGGTGGCAGGGACCCCAAGTACTTCAGCCATCTCAGCTGTCTGCTGTCTCGCAGGGTGCACGTTAGCAGGAAGCTGGATCAGAGCAGAGGAGCCAGGACTCGAGCCTAGGCACTCTGATGCGGCAAGTGGGCGCCCCACGCCTTGCCTTTACTGCTACAGCAATCATACCCACCCCAGGTGGGGCTTAATTTCGATCAGAAAAACTGAGATTTGGTGTTATAATACTTTGCTATTTGCATTGTGATTTATCATTTATAAAGGAGGTACACACGTATTCATTCTCATCTGAGCATCAGAAGTGGGGTTGCCTCCTCTCAAGGATGGGAAGAGGTGCAGCAGCGAGTCTAGGCTCTTTCTGTGCCACCAGTGTTGTCACAGCTGTTTCTGATGATGAAGCTAGCTGTGGAGTGGGTGAGTAGGGAATGCTTGGACATCCTGAAGCAGCAGCAAGGATGTTGTGAGTTAGGAGTGGTTTGATGTGACACGTGAGTTAGCTGCAGTTCCGTCCAGTGTGTTCTAGAACTTTCCGTGAGTTCTTCCTGCTCTGTGCTGTCGGCTCCCTTCTGTGCCTCTCCTCTGCTGTGCTCAGGGCTTTGCAACCTGAATGTGGCTGAGAGCTTAGGAGGGAAACAAGAGCGCCAACCTCGTTAATCAGATGACAACAAGAGGCGAATATGCTGTTTTCCCTGTTTGTGTCGCTTCACTAGCAATTGGATACGTATATTCAGCATCTGGCTATTTTCAAGGAAAGAAGAAGAGAGATGATACATAAGAAATGGGTCCAAAGTGTTGCTGATCCTCTTCAGCAGAGAATTATGGAAAAAGTAATTTCATACAGAGGAGTTGAAAAAATGAAACAAGAGAATTTTGAACACTTCTTAAAGCACACAAATAAAACGGTACTGAATTTTTTTAAAATAAAGTATAATTTGGGCTGGTCCAATATTTGCACTGGTTCGGCAGAAAGTTTCTAAGCCTATTTTTGCATTTAAGATGAATAAATTCAACTGTAATCTACCTGTCTTATGCCTTTGGTTTCATGTGGAGGGGATAAGAGTGTTGATTTGAAAATAGATTTATCAGACTACCTTTAGGTAAATGTTAACAGAATAGCAGTGGCTTAAAAACATAGGGCATTTATAGTTTACTTAACAAGAAATTGATAGGGTGGTCTCATTGTGGGTTCTGGCAGCACAGCAATGTCAGGGGTTTTGCTGTGGTTCTGTTCTGTCCTTAACAATTTTAATTTATCTTCATCATTCTCACATTTGCTTCATAGCTGTGTACAGCCCCAGGTGTGATGTTTGCATTCCAGGCAGGCAGAAGGCGTAAGGAGTGGTGTCAGGGAACGTTTCTTTTTATTATTATTATTATTTATTTTTGACAGGCAGAGTGGACAGTGAGAGAGAGAGACAGAGAGAAAGGTCTTCCTTTTTTCCGTTGGTTCACTTCCAATGGCCGCTGCGGCCAGCGCGCTGCGGCCGGCGCACCGCGCTGATCCGAAGCTGCGAGTCAGGTGCTTCTCCTGGTCTCCCATGCAGGTGCAGGGCCCAAGCACTTGGGCCATCCTCCACTGCACTCCCGGGCCACAGCAGAGAGCTGGCCTGGAAGAGGAGCAACCAGGACAGAATCTGGCGCCCCGACCGGGACTAGAACCCGGTGTGCCGGCGCCACAAGGCGGAGGATTAGCCTAGTGAGCCGCAGCGCCGGCGGGAACGTTTCTTTTACGTCTCCAGATCCCCTTGGTGGGCTTTCCCTTAGGTCTCATTGGCCAGCAAGACCTAACCGTAGGCAGGGGCAGGAAAGAGACTGCAGCTGTATTCTGAATAGTAGGAGTGGCAAGGGACAAGTGGATTGCATGGCTCCTGGGTTGGCGAACCATTGGATATAGAGACTAGCAGTGTCTGTAAGAGAACACGATTTTGGTTTCGTATTTTGAAGTTTTATGTATTTGGAAGAGTGGAGAGAGAGGGAGGGAGGGCGAATGAGAATATGAGAGAGACCCAGGGAGATCTTCCAACCACTGATTACTCCTCCCAGTGCCTGCATCAGCCAGGACTGGGCCTCGCTGAAGCCAGGAACCTGGAACTCCATCCATATGGGTGATGAACCCAAGCACTTGGGACATCGTCTGCTGCCTCCCTGGCTCATTAGAGGAAGCTGAACTCTCTCCAGGCACTCTGATACGAGAGGTGGGCATCCCTTGTGGCAGCTTAACCTGCCGCACCACAGCGCCCACCCCTAAAGATCCTTTTTTTTTTTTTTTTTTTTGACAGGCAGAGTGGACAGTGAGAGAGAGAGAGACAGAGAGAAAGGTCTTCCTTTGCCGTTGGTTCACCCCCCAATGGCCGCCGCGGCCGGCGCGCTGCAGCCGGCACACCGCACTGATCCGATGGCAGGAGCCAGGAGCCAGGTGCTTTTCCTGGTCTCCCATGGGGTGCAGGGCCCAAGCACCTGGGCCATCCTCCACTGCACTCCCTGGCCACAGCAGAGGGCTGGCCTGGAAGAGGGGCAACTGGGACAGAATCTGGCGCCCCGACCGGGACTAGAACCCAGTGTGCCGGCGCCGCTAGGCGGAGGATTAGCCTAGTGAGCCGCGGCGCCGGCCTGGATCTTTTGTTGTCAATTCGAGGTCAAGACTGTTTTGGAATTTAGGCCCACCTGTCTCGAGTACCACATTTAAATCTTGTTGGCTTCATGTGTAGACTGTAAGATCTTTGTTATTTCCAGGTATTTGTTAGAAATCTAGAGCAGTTTAGCTGGAATGTTAGAAGTTTTAAGCATATTTACTAAACCAAGTTTTTGAATATGTACATTGATTACTTTTCCCTAAATGCTCCAAGAGGCAGGAGTTCAAGATAGATTTCAGGTCTCTTTGAAAGCAAGGTAGCAGTCATTTTTTTTTTTTTTTAAGATTTATTTATTTATTTGAAAGTCAGAGTTACACACACACACACACACACACACAGAGGTCTTCCATCCACTGGTTCACTCCCCAGTTGGTTGCAATGGCTGGAGCTGTGCCGCTCCAAATCCAGGAGCCAGGAGCTTCTTTCGGGTCTCCCACGCAGGTGCAGGGGCTCAAGGAGTTGGGTCATCCTCCGCTGCTTTCCCAGGCCATAGCAGAGAGCTGCATTGGAAATGGAGCAGCCAGATCTCAAACTGGTGCCTATATGGGATGCTGGCACTGCAGGCAGCGGCTTTACCCACTATGCCACAGTGCCGGCCCCCAAAGTAGCCGTCTTATGATTGTGTCCAGTAGTATGCATGCGCAAGTGTCGGGTGGAGGAAGCTATACCTGAGAAATGGCATGTATTGAAGTTGAGAGATTTTAAAGGATAGAATATTCGGTGAGAGTCAGCCAAGTGAGCGGCTGGCTTCCCACAAAGCATCTGAGCGCCCAGGCTGTGTGAGCGGAAGCTGTGTTCAGAGTGGGATGTGTCGGAGTTATGGTCCCCCTGTCCTTATCCTGTCATTCCTAATGCCACTCTACTAAGGGAACCCTCTCCGGAAGCAGAACTTTGAGAACAGGGTGGGCTCTTGACTCCGCCTCCTCGGAAGAAGAGTGGAAAGAAGTGGGGTATTCAGGCCCAGGCAGCTGGAAGCAGACACGGAGCTGATGGGCTGATTGTAGACTTACTATCTGCACCTGGAAGTTAGGAGGCAGATTTCAGCTCAATCTAAGGACAAACTTGCCACTAGGTAAAATTACCCCCAAAGTGCCTGATTGCAAGTTTTCAGACAGAGGCTCATGGATGGCTCTAGATGGAAACTGGATGATTACTTCTCCTAGAAGGGGGTGGAGTCTCATTGTGGTCTAAATTACTTCTGAGGTTTCTTCTAATCCTTGGAAGCCATGCTTTTCTGTAAAAGGTGGATAAAGTATTTGGCTTTTCTGAGTCTTGCAAAAACAATTTGTATGTCAGGAATTGCTGTAAAGTGTACCGTTTTCTCCCCTAAAGGAAACTGTGTTTGGAGACCATTATAATCCTGACGTGTACGACCCTTTTTATATGAAGAAAAAGGACCCGAATTATGGAAAGGTATTAGAAGTTTACTTATTTATTCGTAGGAGGCCTGGAGTTGAGGTTTATTTTGGAAGCCTTGTAGTTATTCTCTTTCATTAAAAAAAATCCACAGACGTCTTTCCCCTGAGTTTTAGAATAAAAATTCGAAGTCATTTCGACGAAGGGGGAATTGACCTGGGAGCTGAGGCGAACGTGTGTGTGACGGTTTGCTCTTTCGTTGCTTGTTGAATTGCTCGCATTCAGCAAAATTGAAGCACGAGGGAGAGAGGCTTGTAGACAGTGAGCACGGGGTGTCGCCGGTGTGCCTAGCACCAGCGTGGCATCAGAAGGGCTCCCAGGAGAGTGTGCTGGCCAGAGCTAGTGCCAGGCTGTGAGGGGTCTCCGGTGTCTACACTGCCAGCAGATGAGTTCAGGTTGACAGCTGCAGATTTCAGTTTTTTCTTCCTTTAGCGCCTGATACTGTTAATAATCTAAACATATATCTGGCTCTGGAGAGAGAAGTGGTTTATTTTGCTTCTCCCAGAAAGCCAGGCGGGTTATTCCTATGAAGGTAGAAGGGTTCCCTTGGCTACAGGTAGAATCTCATTGCCGGGGGTAGGAGGCAGCACCTGTGTCGCTGTCCTGCTTGTTCAGTGACTGTTTCCTAGTGCTTAGGGCCCAGCATTGGGTTAAGTGCTGCGGTGAGGTGGAGGGGAGGTGAAGGGGAGCAAAGGCCCCCTGCCGGAGGCTTATAATAAGGAGGGAGGTGGAAAAAGGCTTGCTCTGATGGTCGGTCCCCAGCCCTCTAGCCCAACTCTTGCTTCGTTCACCTGCTCTTCTGGGCTCCCAAGCCCTTACGGACCAGGGGTCAGCTTCTCTGGGAGGCCTTCCTCTGGGGCTGGTTAGGGGCTCTGCCTCGGGCCCCTGTGGTATTCTGAGCTGACTCCTCCATCGCTGGACTGTCAGCACGTTGTCTTGTCTGGTCCAGACCCAGAGATGGTTGAGGGCAGGACCTGGCCTAGCTGTGGCCCACAGTGGCCTAGGGGCTCAGCAGTGATTGCCGGAGTGATGCAGAACACAGCGGCACTGGGGACAGCAGCGTGTCTCCTCCCGTCCAGCAGCTCCCTCCCTCTGTTACCCTTCACCACTCTGGGCATAGACAGTAGCCGTGGGTTTCCGTTCTTGGTGGCGTTGGAGTAGAGTAAACTTGAATGCGCAGGACAGATTTTTGAAAGCTTAAGGCAAACTGAAGTCGGGTTCTCAGAGTCTACTACACTGTAGGTTACAGTCCCACCATTTTGTGATCCTCTGTTCCGAAGACAGCAGGAGGTAGACCAGGAGAGGAGAGCGAACCTTGAGTACGAGACAGGTGCGTTGCGATGGGCCCTCAAAGGATTCCCCACCCTAGAGCCACTGGCGTTGTCTATTACAGTGTTGACTGAGGGTTTTTTTGTTTAAATCTTCCTACAGGAAAACGGTACTCCATGCAGGAATTTAAAGAAGTAGAGAAGGCCGGGCTGCGGGCCAGGTTGCCCCAGTCACTTTCACCTTGCACGGTGCGATTCCAAAAGGGCGGCATCCAGGCTCCGCGCGAGGTGGAGCTCGTGGGAAACGCAGGTACGGCGGCCCGGAGCACGCGCCTGCGTCCTTGCGTCACCTGCAGCCTCGGCTCCTTGCTGATGCACATCTCCCAGTGGGGGAAAACTGGGCCGCGAGTCCAGGCGGGTGGCCCGGTGTCGGTGACCATTTATGAGGCTGGACGCGACGGTGAGAAGAGACGAAGAGAAGTCTTACAGAGTAAGAGAGAGAGAAGCTCTGAACCAGAGGGAGGGCTGGTGGGCAGACCACGCTGCTGGGGTCTTGCGGAAGTCTTGGGTATTTGTGTGTCTGTAACCCGTCCTCTCCAAAGAGAAAATGCAGTGGTTGCACATGAGCTACTGCGAGGGCAGGGGCAGTGTTACCGGAGCCCCTTCCAACTTGTATTTGTCGAAACCTAAATCTTGTCCATTGGCCAATGTTTGTTGGTGGGCTTCCATCCTGTCGTGTTTGGTGTGTATGCGCTGCCAGGGAGCTGTGGGGTGGAGTTAGTCTGGCCTGCTTCTAGTCCTGTCCTCCCTCAGTAATGAGTTGCCTTGTCTGTTAGTGATTTATAGTTTTATTATTATCACTGTCATCACCTTTGTGTTATGTAGCGAACATAAGCCACTTAACAAGCCCCAGGCCAGTCCTCTGGTGACATCACCACTCAGGTCAGGAGATGAACCTGCACCTACTGAGGACAGTCCGCTCCTGCCCGAGCCAGCTTCACTTTTGTAAGTGCAGGGTCCTTGCTTTCCCTATAGTGTTATCAAATTAGTTTTGTATCCTTCAAATACTGTTTATCTTGCCTTGTTTTGAATTTCATATACATGGAAACTTAAAGCATCTAATATATTTTTTAAGATATATTTATTTGAAAGGCAGAGCAACAGAGAGAGAGGGAGGAAGGAAGAAAGAAAGAAAAGAGGGAAGGATGGAAGAGGGAGAGAGAGAGAGAAGGAGAGAGAGACAGACAGACAGATCTGCTGGTTCAGTCCCTGAATGGCCAAAACAGTCAGGTCTGGGTTAGGCCGAAGTCAGCGGTGAGTAAGTACATTTAAGTCTCCCACATGGGTGGCAGGGGCCCAAATTCTTGGGCCATCCTCTGTTGCCTTCCCAGGGGCATTAACAGGAAGCTGATCGGAAGCAGAACACCTGGGACTTGAACTGGCACTTCACTATGGGACGCCAGGGTTGCAGGCTGCAGCTTAACCCACTGTACCACAATACCAGTTGAAGCTTCCATTCTCTTGCGACTTACTTATTTATTTTTAAAGATTTATGTATTTATTTTAAAGTCAGAGTTACACACAGAGAGAAGGAGAGGCAGAGGGAGAGGGAGAGGGAGAGAGAGAGGGAGAGGTCCTCCATCCACTGGTTCACTCCTCAGCTGGCTACAATGGCCAGAGTTGCGCAAATCCGAAGCCAGGAGCTAGAAGCTTCCTCCAGGTCTCCCATGCAGGTGCAGGGGCCCAAGGAGTTGGGCCATCTTCTACTGCTTTCCCAGAGCTGGATCAGAAGTGGAACAGCTAGGACTCAAACCCGTGTCCATATGGATGCCAGCACTACAGGAAGCAGTTTTACCTGCTACGCCATGGCATTGGCCTCTTATTTATTTACAGAGGGAGTGACAGAGAGCGTGAGATCTTCCATTCACTGGTTCACTGCTCAAATGGCTGCAACAGCCAGACTGGGCCAATCCGAAGCCAGGAGCCTGGAGCTTCCAGGTCTCCCAGTGGGTGCAGGGGCCCAAGAACTTTCTTCGGCTTCGCCAGGCGTGTAAGCAGGGAGCTGGGTCAGGAGTGGAGCAGTCAGGACTTGAACCGCCGCCCACATGGGATGCTGGCACTGCAGGTGGCGGCTTTACCTGCTAGGCCACAGTGCAGGCTCCCAGGGGCTAGAAGATTATGCATCTGGAAGGTTCCTTTTCTGGGGCTTTTGCGGCCACTGCAGCCTGTGCCAGCTGCTCTTTCCTGCACGGAAGTGCAGGTCCTGTCGCGCTCCCTTGGTGTTTCCTTCTTCCCTGTCCTGAGTTTTGTGGGAATAAACAGTGCTGCTGTGTTTCTGCCCCCTGGTGACTTGGAAGCTTTATGTCCTATTTCTCATTTCCTTACCCATTTTAACAAATGGCTTTATTTAAACAGCACTGGCTATGTGACTGCCCCTTCCTCCGAGACAAAGCTTTGTCCTGCTTGGCTTCCTTCCCGAGGCTCTGTCCTCACAGCTCCCAGCTGCTCCTCCTCCGCCAGCGGGCCCCTCCCTGGAGCTCCTCTGGAGTGCCCAGCACTCTCCACAGCCTCTGACAGCTCCTCCCGGAATCCTCCCAACTGAGCCCAGGCCCTGCCGGGTAGCCCCCACGGCGTTACCCGGTCCTGGCTGCACCTCAGCATTCCTCCTCCTTAAGGTCACGTCAGCAGGATCACCACTCCTGACCTGCGGGTTGCGTGTCTGCGCTCCCTCTCCCTGGGCCTCCTGGCGAGGGAAGCCATCCCCACGTGGGGTATCCAGCAGCAAGCAGCAAGCAAGGGAGGGGGACTCATTCATCGTGGTGCTCCCAGCACTCGGCTGGAAGGAAGTGGATAAGATAAGCAGACGTTTGTTGACTGAATGCAGGAAGGAAGGAGACAGTGCATTTCCCTGGCTGGGGCAGCGCTGGTGACAGCCAAGGTCAAGGACCAGCCCGGCAGGTTCCTCGTGTGGCTGTTTACCGAGCAAGAAGAGAACTTCAGGGCCAGCTGGAGAGGAGTCAGACACTGTGACTGCAGAAGACCCCTCTCCAGGGGAAGAAAGGGGAGGCGGGGGGCCCCGATGTGTCAGCACTGGTGTGTTGCTGGGGAGAAAGCTAGGCTGCCCGGGAACCGCGAGGCCAGCACCTTCCTGTCTGGGCCCACCTGGCTGTCACCGTTGCTTTCCTGTGAACCCCCTTCTCCCTCTCCACACCCCGGCTTTCTTGGCTTCCTTGCATGGGTGCTGGGAAGCGGATGCCCCCATCCCGCCTGACTTTCTGGTTGGAGCACTCGGAGGCTGCCTGGAAGCCCCTCCGCCCCGAGGACAGCTCCAGGGATTGGCGCTCCGGCCCAGGGCCTCAGCCACAGCTGGGGAAAGATCCCCTGCCTCGCGCTCGCCCGCTGGGTGTGCCAGCAGGGGTGCAGCAGCCAGGCAGGTTGAGGGACAGCCCCGGGCATGTCTACTCAGCCTTCCCTTCTCATCATGTGAGTGTTGAGGTCACAAAATTAATTTTCCAAAATTTTTTTTAAAAATATTTATTCGAGAGGCAGAGTAACAGAAAGAGAGAGATACTGAGATATTCTATCTGCTGGTTCACTCCCCAAATGTCTGCAACTGTCAGGGCTAGGCCAAGCCATAGCTAGGATCCAGAAACTCTGGGTCTCCTACATGGATGGGAGGGGCTTAAGGGCTTGAGCCAGTATCTGGTGCCTCCCAGGTGCATGAGCAGGGCGCTGGATTGAAGCGGGGTCGCAGGACTGGTGCCAGGTGCTCCACATGGGATGTGTGTGTCCCGAGCAGGGAGCTGACTGGCTGTGCCCCAGTGCCCACCTCTTCAGACACTGTCGCACGGTGCTGAGCTGAGACCACTTTCCCTGCTTCTCTTCGCAGTCCCGAAAAGCTGCCCTGTGCAGAGACGCCACATCTGCCTGCAGAAGGGGCGGCCGACGGGGGTCAGCTTGCTTTGGAGAGGCAGTTTCTTTCCTGGAAGCTCAGCCAGGGGCAGAGAGGGGCTGAGCAGAAGGGTCTGGTGAGCGGAGAGGGGGCGCCGGCTCGGGCGGCTGCAGCCACGGAGGAAGGGGGAGGCAGGAAGGGCACCTTCTGAGCGCTGCAGGGGGAGGCACCCTGGCAGGGCCCTTGTGTGGAGACCCTCAGGAGCGGTCAGCGCGGGACGCTGGGCCCACTCCGAGGGGACAGAGTGTGCCTTCAGGGCGAGGGCACACCTGCCCGAGGGGACTGGCCTGCCCGAAGAGGTTTCATGAGCCTCGCTCGTGGGCTGTTACTCCTCTGCCAGTCTCCTGCCACCTGTCTCCTAGAGCACCAGGCCAGGCCTCATGATCCTTCTTACGTGAATCGCAATAGGCGGGATGGCTTGAAACCAAGTTTGTGGTATTTCAAGGTTTTTTTTTTTTTTTTGACAGGCAGAGTGGACAGTGAGCAGTGAGAGAGAGAGACAGAGAGAAAGGTCTTCCTTTGCCGTCGGTTCACCCTCCAATGGCCGCCGCGGCCGGCGCGCTGTAGCCGGCGCACCGCGCTGATCCGATGGCAGGAGCCAGGAGCCAGGTGCTTCTCCTGGTCTCCCATGGGGTGCAGGGCCCAAGCACCTGGGCCATCCTCCACTGCACTCCCTGGCCATAGCAGAGAGCTGGCCTGGAAGAGGGGCAACCGGGACAGAATCCGGCGCCCCAACCGGGACTAGAACCCGGTGTGCCGGCGCCGCTAGGCGGAGGATTAGCCTAGTGAGCCGCGGCGCCGGCCTCGAGGTATTTTCTATGCAGGGATGTTCTAAGCACAGATTTCTTTTTCTTTTTTTTTTTTTTTTTTAATTTATGTATTTGAAAGGCAGAGCTACAGAGAGGCCGAGGTAGGGAGAGAGAAGTCCTCCGTCTGCTGGTTCATTCCCTAAACGGCTGCAAAGGCCAGAGCTGAGCGGATCTGAAGCCAGGAGCCAGGAGCTTCTTCCAGGTCTCCCACGCGGGTGCAGGGGCCCAAGGACTTGGGCCATCCTCCACTGCTTTCCCAGGCCACAGCAGAGAGCTGGATCGGCAGGGGAGCAGCCGGGACTCAAACCAGCACCCATATGGGATGCCGGTGCTGCAGGCGGAGGATTTTCCTACTACACCTCAGCGCCAGCCCTGCACAGATTTCTTATGCAGAGCTCACACTTTGCATGGCACAGCTTACAGCTTGTGGCCTACTGCCCCTTCCCTGAGCCCCCACCCCCTGTACCCTAAACCTGAGGCTTGGGACCCTTCTTTGGGAAGCTACCCGAGCTGGCAGGAGCAGGCCCCAGTCTTGAGTGTGTCTCTGCCGTGCTCCTCCCACCGCCCCTCCGCCCCCTGCACCTCCGCACACACGGGCGGGCGTGGCTAGGAAGCTGAGCTCCGGGGTGCCCCACCCCCTCCCGGGCCTCCCGGAGCCAAGCAGCTCCTCCTTGTCTGCTCAGTTACCACAGAACTTTCCGCAGCACGGTTACACCGAGAGCATGGTTACACCGAGAACACGGTTACACCGAGAGCACGGTTACACCTGAGAGCACGGTTACACCGAGAGCACGGTTACACCGAGAGCACAGTTACACCGAGAGCACGGTTACACCTGAGAGCACGGTTACACCGAGAGCACGGTTACACCTGAGAGCACGGTTACACCGAGAGCACGGTTACACCTGAGAGCACGGTTACACCGAGAGCACGGTTACACCTGAGAGCACGGTTACACCGAGAGCACGGTTACACCTGAGAGCACGGTTACACCGAGAGCACGGTTACACCGAGAGCACGGTTACACCTGAGAGCGCTGGGCGCCACACTTGGCTGTCAGAGCGTGTGTAGGGCACACAGGTGATGGTTTGATGTGCGTGTTCGTTGGGAACTCATCCATGACCTCGCGTACTTACTGTTTGCCTGTGTGTGGTGAGATGACTGAAGATCTGCATCGCAGCAAATTCCAAGTCTGATTGTCCGCTGCTATCCATGCGGCGCTGATTCCAGGACCCCCAGGGATGTCAGAATCCTCGGATGCCTAAAACTCTCATAAAATGGCATAATGCTTGCAGGCGGCGTGTGTCCTCTGGTATACTTCACATCCTCTCTGGGGGCAGACGCTTGGCCTCGTGGCTGAGAGCAGGTCAAGACACCACATGCCACGTCAGAGGGCCTGAGGTTCATGCCTGGCTCTGCTAATGATTCCAGCTTCCTGCTAACACAGATCCTGGGAGGGAGCAATGATGCTCATGGGACTGGGTGCTGCCACCCACGTGGGAGACCTGGGTTGAGTTCCAAGTTCCTGTTTTCGGCCCCAGCCAGGGGTCACTGCGAGGATTTAGGGGGTGAACCAGCAGGTGGAAGCGTGCGTGTATATTCTGTCTGCCTCTCAGATAATCCCTAGATTACTTATAATATCTATTACAATGTCAATGCCACATAAATACAAGGGCACTTCAAAAGGTACCTGGGAAATGGAATTAAAAGGTTCAGCATTTTCCATGAACTCTTTAAAGTTCTGCCATAGTTGTTAGATGGTATTATTTAGGGAACAATGACAAGACAGAAAAGTGTGTATGTGTTTAGTACAGCTGCAGAGTTTGCCCCAGATATTTTCCGTCCATGGTTGGTTGAGTCTGGAAGTGGAGGCCATGGCCACGGGGAGCAGCCTGTATGCAGTACAGCACTCCTGTCCCTCATGTGGTCCCCACGCAGCCTGTATCCAGTACAGCATTCTGTCCCTCACTGCGGTCCCCATGCAGCCTGTATGCAGTACAGCACTCTGTCCCTCACTGTGGTCCCCACGCAGCCTGTATGCAGTACAGCACTCCTGTCCCTCACTGCGGTCCCCACGCAGCCTGTATCCAGTACAGCACTCTGTCCCTCACTGCGGTCCCCACGCAGCCTGTATCCAGTACAGCACTCTGTCCCTCATGTGGTCCCCACGCAGCCTGTCAGGCGCCAGAGCTACTCATCTTGTGCTCAAAGTTTGTACCTTCTGGCCAGTGAGTTCCTGCTCCTGCCCCCTGACCTGGGAAAGCACCATTCAGCTCTGTTTCTTTTCTTTTCTTCTTCTTTTTTGTGGGGAGCAACTGAGACTAAGTTACTGGAATTAAGACTAATTCTATGCATCTGCTCTCCCACAATATGGCGCTGAGAGGGAGCAAACAACCTCTACGCAGCTGCCTCATCAGTTTGACAAGCTGCAGGAGCTGATCCTGCTCCTGATTGGAGGAGAGCAGTGTGCTCGGCGTGTGGGTAGCAGAGTTGGGATTGGTGGAAGAGGACTATAAGGGAGGAGAGAGACAGCATGCACCAGGAACATCTAACGGGAACATCTGAGGGAACACCTGAGCAGCCCCCGAGAGAGCCGGCCGGCGGTGTGCCACTCCTCCACGGAAGCGGGGAAAGTGGCAGGGGGAACCGCCCTTCCACGGAGGTGGAGGGGTCGGCAGCCAACCCGGGAAGGACCAGCAGCAAACCCGGGGAGGGCCGAGCAGACAAAAGAACAGTGCAGGGTCCTGTGTCGTTCCTCCGCGAATGGGGGAGCAACATTCTTTTTTTTTCAAGATTTTATTTATTTATCTGGAAGGTAGAGTTACAGTGAGAGGGAGAGACAGAGAGAAAGGTCTTCCTTCTATTGGTTCATTCCCTATCTCTTTTAAAAATGAGGTGGTCAGTGCTTCTGCTGTGGAGTTGTAAGGGTTCCGTACATATTTTGGATATGAATCCCTACCGGACACCGGTTTGCAGGTATTTTCTCCCCGTCTCAGGTTTCCTCTTCATCTTGCTGTGTCCTGTGCAGAAGCCTGGTCGCACACTGAGGTGTGACCGCAGTCAGCTCACCCTCACAGGAGGGCAGGCTTTGCTGCTGTCGCTAGGAGATCCGAAAGCAGATGGTGGTTGAAACCCCAAAGTTTCCGTTTGCTCATGTCTCAGGACTTGTGGCTGGGTGTGTTGGCAAGGGAGCAGGCTCCCCTCCATCAGGCAGTCTCAGGCTGCCGACAGAGGGGCTTCCCAGGTGACCCCAGGGAGTGCATCCGTCAGCCTGTCGCGGCAGAGTTCTGCACTGGTGATGGTGGGCAAGGCCTGGAGGTGGCCTCCCTCACCTCCATGCATGTCCCTGGGCAGGGCGCCAACACATGGCTGTCCCTAACTGCCCAGTGCAGGGGTGCTGGGAAACTGGTCCCTGACTGGTCTGAATTGAGGGGCAGGAGAGGTCTGCCCATACCATCGAAAGGTATGTGGAGTGCCAGCATACAGAGGCTTCGGCTGGGAGGGGCAGACGCCAGAGCAGGAGGTGAGGCAGGAAGGTTTTGGGGCAGCGCCCTGAAAGGGGTGTCCCAGCTCTGGCAGCAGAGCCGGGTCAGGGGCGGGGCGGGGCGGGGCGGGGTCCGTGAGTCAGCTTCCCGCTCCCGCTCCCGCTCCCGGCAGCCCCGTCCCAGCACCACAGCAGGTCCTTCCCTTGCGTCAATAGGTCTCAGGAGCCCGACAGCAGAGCCCTCACTCCTGGGCGCCTGGGGACGGCACGCAGAGAGGGACGCCTCCGCCTCTGGAGGGAAGAGTGATGGCGGCAGAGGCCCTGGGCAGGCACCTGGCGTCCCTGCACACGACGGCCCAGCAGGACCACGGCTGGTACTAAGGAGGCTTCGTTAGCTCAAGTTCGCAGTGTCCGTACCACAGTGAAAATACCGCAGTGGTGTTCTGTCTCTCCAGGAGTGGAGAGAGTGCAAGAAATGCACAAATAAAAACAGGTGATTTTTGAGCCCCCGTTGAGAATCGGGGACTACTTCGTGTTCACTGAGAAGTGTTAACAGCGAGGTCGCATTATTGCCTTGCAGGCCAGGACACCCACAGACACTCGCGCTCCTGCTCGCTCGCCCTCTCAGCTTCCAGAGCACAGGTTCATCCCCAGGGCACACCTGCCCTCACTGGGCGTGCTCCGCGAGCCTGCCGCTCAGACTGGGCGTGCGGGTCAGCTGCTGGGAACGCACACGCCCAGTGCCCGCCCTCCCAGCATCCCGCTGCCCAGGAGCACGGCAGGGGCTTGGGCCTCCTCGCTGCAGGGCATCCACTCCGCCCTTCCCGGGGACGCTCGGGGGCCCAGGCCACCTCCCGCCTTCCCCGTGTCCCCCAGAAATCAGGCTCACAGTGGTTTCTGAAAGGGCAGCTCTGCGTCCCTAGGTCGGGGCGTGGCCGGAGCGTGGCCCGAGTTGCTGGGGGTACTGATGCTGCACACCCTCCAGTCCCTAGGTCGGGGCGTGGCCGGAGCATGGCCCGAGTTGCTGGGGGTACTGATGCTGCACCCCCTCCAGTCTCACCGGCGCTGTCGGACTCATCCTGCAGGCCCTGGGCCCTGCCTGCCTGCAGGTGACGGCAGCACTAGCCAGTCTCCCTGGTGGGAACCCGAGGATTATTCTGCAGCTGCGGTCACAGGTGACCCCAGAACCGGTTTCACAACTGCCCGATTCATCTGAAAACCAGCCAGACCAAGGCTCACTCGGACACCAGCCCACCCCTGGCTCTGGGACCCAGGAAACAGGCTTCCCACCGGCTGGCGGTGTCAGCAGGTCGCTCTGCTCAGTGACTCCGGGCCGGCAGAGCGAGCTCCCGGGAATGCAGCGGTTTCACATACTGATGTCTGCATTCTACCTAGTCTGCCCGGCGACAGGACCTCAGATGAGGAAGCGGCGGGTTTAAGTTTGGATAGACTGAATTGTGTTTTCCAGCCTTCTGTGCCCCGAACTGGAATGGGGCCCGGCACACATGCCCAGGCCCGTGGGGGTCTGACTCCTTCCGGGTTCTTCCAGCCGCGGGATCCGCTTCCTGAGAAGCCAGGGCTCCGCAGCCTGGGCGCCGCTTCAGAGGGACAGACCCATCCCTGAAACCAGGGACCCAGCGCGGGAGACCTTGTGTTAGCGATATCCGTATCCGAGACAGGCTTCACGTCTGGAATTCAGCAGCTAAGCAAGCAGCTGAGAGGCCGGATGTGGCTCCAGGGCGGGGCCTGGAGGGAGGACAGGGCCCCTGGAGCCGGCGGCAGGGCTGCCCCGTGCGCTCCTCTCCCCCTACCCTGCCCCTGAGGCTTCCCCGCACAGAGGCACAGCGCCCGGACGTCGTCGGCCAGGGTAGCCGCTGAAGACGCCGCCCTGGAGACGTGAAGGAGGTCCCAGCCAGGCAGAGGCCTGGCCTCCTGGTCCTGTCCGCGCCCCGTTCCCTGGGTCTCCCCACGGTGCCAGAAAGGACACGTGCTTTCCTTGTGAGACCATTCAAGAGCGGTTCAGAGAAGTTAGGTTCATAAACTTAGATTTTTATTCTCTTTCTGTACATATTGGCAATGATAAAGCTTAAAGATGCATGTCCTATGAAATATGCAAAACAAGGAATTTACATAAATAATTTATACTTCAGAAAATTAAAGTTGAAAAATATTTTCCACATTATTAGAGTTCACAGTATGTAAAGGAAATCAAGCTTCTCCCTTCTATTTCAGACTATATTGTCTTAGCAGAGAACGATAAAATCTAACCGGGAAAAAATGATCAAGTTTCGGGTTTTAGTCAGTGCAAGAGCAGACGCGATTTCAGTAGCCAGCAATGGGGGCCGCGGCGTTTCATCCCAACCCATTACCTCCTGAGTGGCTGCGCCCAGCTGAGGTCGCATGGCGTGGAATGGCTCCGGCTTCACCAGCTCAGCCCACAGTGGACACTGACGCAGCGTCCGGTGCTCCGATGCCTCGTTCCCACACGATACTTGTTATAGCCCTGAACACAGAAACGTTGGCATCCAAACACCGCTGACCGTGTTCACACTGATACAAGGCACTGTGCCGGGGGGTTTATTTACAGGCAGGATCACGTTTGCATAGATTGCTAGCAGTTTAGTGCGCAGTAAAACAGAGGCCCCAGCGTGCGTGGCTTGTGACGAATGAAGCCGCGTGGTGCTCCTGCAGCCGCAGGAGACAGCGGCCTGGGACTCTGCGGGCCCAGCCTTGTTGGCAGAGCCGCCCCTGGGCCGGCCTCCAAGTCCACTACGGGAGAGTTTTTTGCTCAAAAAGCTGTAGATCAAGGCGGACCCAGACTTCCCCGGTGGGGACCTCATGCAGCAGCAGCCGGCGAGTCGTGGGGCCCTTGCTGTCCTGTTCTGTTCGAATTTTTGCCACTGGAATTTCAGTACGGCCCAGGAAATCTGGCGAATAAACATCACGTGAGAGTTCAAAGACGTTCTTCTTTAAAGACTGTTAAACAATAACCTCAGGAGGAGTGTCTGAAACAGGGTTTACAAAACTCTTCAACCTCCAGACGACAACTCCTGGTGGCTTACGTCAAGTGACCAGAGATCTGTGGGACAGCCGCTGCCGAGGACTCAGGCCGCTGTGGTGAGGCAGCGTTGACCTGCTCTGTGTGCGCCTGGAGCAGCGCTCACCGTGTGTGTGTAGGGGTGACTGGGCTCAAAGCCCTGGAACGCGTGGCTGCCCGCGGGAGCTGGCCCAGGCCTGCTTCATCCCCCTTGCTGTCGTGGGTGACAGCCATGACCGGGCACCGGGATCCTGCAAACCTTTAGCTGCCCCCGCCAAGCCACACAGTGTCTGCGGGGCAGGGCTCCAGGACTCCCCGTGCACCCGACCACGGTGCTCAAGCTCCCTTTATAAGACGGGGTGGGTCTGCCTAGGGTCTCCCTACACCCTCCTGGACACGCGAAGCCACCTCTGACTACATGTGATACCTGATACGGTACAGGGTGCTGGAGTAGTCTACACGCAGACCGCTTAGGGAATAATGACAAAAAGTCTGTGTGTTCAGTACAGGCACAGTTTTCTCCCCAAATGTTTTTGACCCACAGTAGGTTGGTTCCGCGGAGACAGAACCCGTGGCTATGGAGGGCCGCCCACACTTACCGTCTGGTGAAAACTGGTCTCGGTCGAACATGGTGAGACACAGCACGTCTTGGTGCAGGTCCTTGATGAAGAACTGGCAGTTGAAGTTCCACTTGGGATTCAGGGTGTCCTGCAGGGTCCTCGTGGTGTAGCTCTGGGAGCCCATGCTGACTTCACAGTACGGGCTGCTCTTCCCTGGACAGAAGAAACCACAGACACGTGTGGCACGGCAAAGCCAAGTGAGTGCCCGGAAGAGCCTCCCTGGAGCAGAAGCAGGGTCCCAAGTCTGCTTCAGTGACGACCACGGCAGCAGGAGCCACTGCCTGCGGGCCCACATCTCCTTGCGGCAGCATGGCCCCAGAGGCAACCGTGAGGGCCCCAGGCCCGGGTCACACACGTGCTTCACGCCTGCTCTCGCAGAAGCACGCGGGAAGCCGGCGGTGGTTCTCACCGGGGAAAGAGAGTGGTCCGGCAAACTAGCTTAGATATGGTTGCATGGGAAACACTGACTTAAAAAGTGGGAAACTGCATTATTTATTTACTTGCGAGACACAGAGGGAGACACGCAGACAACTGCCATCTCTGAACGCCTCTGAATGGCCAGGGCTGAGCCAGGCCAAAGCAGGAGATGGGAACTCCATCCAGGTTTCTTACATGTGTGCCAGGGACCCAGCACTTAAGTCACCTGCTGCCTCCCGGGTGTGCATTAGCATGAAGCTGGAATTGCAAGCAAAGCCAGCAGGCGAACCCAGCCATTCGGACAAGGGAGGTCGGTATCTCATCAGTGTGGTTTTTTTTTTTTTCTTTTTTTTAAATGACAGAGTTAGACAGTGAGAGAGAGAGAGACAGAGAGAAAGGTCTTCCTTCCGTTGGTTCACTCCCCAAATGGCCGCTATGGCCAGCACACTGCGCTGATCCCAAGCCAGGAGCCAGGTGCTTCTCCCTGGTCTCCCATGCGGGTGCAGGGCCCAAGCACTTGGGCCATCCTCCACTGCACTCCTGGGCCACAGCAGAGAGCTGGACTGGAAGAGGAGCAACCGAGACAAAATCCGGCGCCCCGACCGGGGCTAGAACCCAGTGTGCCGGCGCCACAAGGCGGAGGATTAGCCTAGTGAGCTGTGGCACCAGCCCCCACCAGTGTCTTAAGTGCTAGGCCCAACACTGACTTTCAAGAAGCAGCCTGAAATTCAGTGTTCAGAGGAGTCAGCAGCAAAGACGGGGCCAGTTACATGTGTGTTGGGTGAGGGAAGCATTTACCATTCGGTTTACAGGCTTTTAATTCTGTAGCTTCAATAACGTGCACCATGAGACGCCCGATGCCTGACGTCTTCTGAGAGCGGGCTGCAGAGGGGAAGACAGGAGACATTAATCCTTCTCCGAGAAGGCAGGCACAGGCTTTCTGTGCACCGCAGCACCGCCCCAGCCTCATCTGCCACTGCCCCGGGCCTAACAGCCCAGCGTCCGGCGGCCCTCGCCTCTCCCCGCCCCACGTCGCCTGCTGTCTCTGCCACCTCTTGCCTCCTACCCATCCTTCAAGATCCAGGTCCAGTTTCACAGGCACTCCCAGAGCCCTTAGGACTGCACACTCATTGTCGCTGACGTGGGAGCATCCCATGACCCCCAGGGCCTGAAGTCCCGTGATGCCCGTGTCCTCCGCCAGAGGGGAGCCACTGCAGCACGTGCACGACTTCCCTCCTCCCCCTCCTGCTCCTCCTCGCAGGACCCCTCAAGTGCCAGGCAAATAGTGACAGTAATACAATAGTAAGGCACATTAGTTAAGCACTTGACACCAGTGAACACTTCTTGGATACTCTGGGTTAGGCACGTGCTAGACTTTACATCATAGCTGGTTAGACTCCTGGTTACCTTACACGGTAGCTCCCCGTTTTACAGATGAGAAAAACTGAGGCTTAGAAAGTGCTCAGTTCAGAGCTTCTAAAAGGCAGGACGAGCATCCAGACGCCAGACACCAGAGTCTAAAGCACTGGTAATCCCGATTACGCATGACCATTCCCGCGTACCAGGCAGCTTTACTTATGGCCTTGTTCTACTTAAGGAGGCACCTGAACTCCTCCAACACGGAGATGAGCTGTATTCTTTGGGTAAACATGGGTTTAATTAAGCAGGTTAAGGCTTTAGAAACAAGGCAGATGCTTCGGTGAGCTACTGGTTTTTCAAACTCCAGGCCAATACAACTTTCCCTCTGAGAAGCAGCCGCCCCTCACCTGTGCCCCTCCCACCGTGAACCTGAACAGCACTCAGCTGCCCTGAGGCCAGGGCGGGGCTTCCCAGTGCAGAGGCGCGAGCGTCTCCAGGACTGAACACACAGCAACACACACACACACGCACCCACCAGGGTGGGCAAAACGCGCAGAAACCCTGATTTACATCTTTGCCCAATTAAGAGATCAGCATGTGGGGCACAAATGATTCAGTCATCGATTTCTCAATAGCAAGCTTTTGAGGTGACATTCAGTTAGCAAAGCTGATGTACACATACCTGTCAGGAGCATACAACAAAATAAGGGAAACCTGAATGGAGAAAACAGAGAGCTGCGGCTAGAGCACCCAGGAGCCTGAGCTGCTCGGAGGGAGACGGCAGACGGGCGGGGGTGGGACAGGTGTGGCGCAGCTGCAGAGGGGGCAGAGAGGCGGGGACTCGGCACCCAGGGGAGGCCGGGGAAGAACGTGGGAGCTGCGACGTCCTGGCCAGGATCATGGCAGGGCACGGGGACTCTTACAAACACCACTGTAGCCACACCGAGCAGGTGGACCACCTGTCCCGTGATCGGGGCGGACACATGGATGCAACACACACAGAGCCACTGGGCACAAGCCACAGGCCCTGCAAGTGTGGAGCTGCCTTCAGGGGAGGTGACTCGGGGCGCGTGAGCAGAAGCAACAGAGGCCTCAAGACCAGAGCAGGACGGCAGACTCACGGCAGGGCCTCCAGGGACATCACATGGGTTGGGGTCAAGGAAGGTGTCATGGAGGAGGCAGTGTTTTCTTGGGCCTGGAAGGGTTCTGGTGGGGTGGGGCATGTGTGTCTGGGAGGCAGCACGCCCAGGTGGGCCTGACAGTGATGGGAGTGGTTCAGTGGCAGTGACATGGGCTAGGTGTGGGCAGCAGTGGGGCCGTGCTCTGAGGCTGGGGCCAGAAACCTGTCCTCCATCTGGGAGGCCACAGGGGAGACAGCTAAGCAGGGAGAGGCGCCCTCTAGGAGTGAGGACGGTGGTGCTGGGGACAGGGAGCTGCAGTGCGGAGAGGAAGGGGCCGGGCAGGTGGAGGGGGAAGCGCAGGGCTCCACAGCAGAGTGGGTGAGGGGCAGGAGGGCAGGTGCTGTCC